ATCGGCTCTGAAAAACACTGTGAGCTCATGGCTCCTGCTACTAAATGCAGAGCTTCCTCCTGATCATGTGCAAAATGGGTCAAAATTCTGTCTTTCTGCAAAGCTAGACTCACAGTGTGTGCATGTGGTCCAGAGCAGGCCTTCTTAGGGAGGCAATGACATAATTATTAGTTCTTTGCCGACTGTGCATGTTCCCACGGCATTGTTAGCACTGACTCTGTCCATGGATGAAAGTGATGAACCTAAGCAAGGTAATTTCACTGGGTTTTGCCACCCCTTGGTTCTTTTAATTTTGCTGGTAAAAGGAAAGAGGTTTATTTGAGTGCCGGCTTCTCTTCACCCTTTTTTTTTTTTTAAATATGTTTTTATTGATTTCAGAGAGGGCAAGGGGGAGGGAGAGAGAGGTAGAAACATCAATGATGAGAGAGAATCATTGTCTGGCTGCCTCCTGCATGTCCTCACAGGGGATGGAGCCCACAACCCAGGCATGTGGACTGACTGGGATTTGAACTTTGACCTCCTGATTCATAGGTCAGTGCTCAACTACTCACCCCCTTCAGCTGGGCAATGGGTCTTTCTTTTTAAACCATCTCACTGGCTGAACCTTACTGAGTAGCTATGCCATTCACTTTTCTCAATAAACATATATCTTAGATTTAAAATCTTCCCCTCTCTGCACCAACATGAGTCATTCTTCTACACAAATCTGAAGTAATATAACAGCTGACCTTTACTGGGTTTTCATTTTATCAAGATTCTGTGGAGAAAGTTGCATGTAATCTTCACAAGAACTGTGGTGATTGGGTTAATGCTTCAAGACTTTCTTTTGTTTGACACTGGGACAAAATATGCCTTTGTATTTCTGTGTCTCTTTCTTTATTTTTGTCTACCTACATTCCTGTCATGTATATTTCCATCTGTTACTAATATGTATCTATCTAAAAATCTATTATTTTTATCTATCATCTGTTTTCTGTTATATCTATCTATCTATCTATCTATCTATCTATCTATCTATCTATCTTCCATACCACCTTTCTTTCTCTCATCTACTTACCTTTCTGTCATGTATATATCTGTTGTAACTATCCATGTTTGTATATAATTTATTATATTTCTCTATCATCCAACTATCTATGAGTCATTTATATCACCTTTCTTTCTCATCTGTGTTTTATTGATTTGAGAGAGAAAGGAAGGGAGCGAGAGAGAAACATTAAGCAGCTAATTCCTGCATGCCCCCTACTGAGGATGGAGCCTGCAACCCAGGCATGTGCTCTGATCTGGAATTGAACCAGTGACATCTTGGTGCCTGGGATGACACTCAACCCACTGAGCCACAGCAGCCAGGCGATAACTCTATTCTTCATTTTTTGAGGAGCCTCCATACCCACCCAAAGTCAAATCATCTTAGGTCACCATCTACTTTGTCCCCTTTACCACTTTATTAAAAATATATATTTATATTGATTTTAGAGAGAGAGAAACACCAATGATGATAGAGAATCATTGATTGGCTGCCTCCTGCACCTCCCCACACTGGGGATGGAGCCTGACTTGGAATTGAACCATGACCTCCTGGTTCCTAGGTCGATGACACCCAACCACTGAGCCATGGCCGGGGCAGTCAGTTCCCTTTACTCTTTACTACCCCTCCACTCCTTCCCTCTGATGACACCACACTCTTGTCTGCATCTGTGAGTTTCAGTTTTATATCCCACCCGTGAGTGAAGTGATAGAGTTCTTAGCTTTTCCTGACTGACTCATTTCGCTTAGTATAATATTCTCAAGGTCAAATCATGTTGTTACAAATGGCAGTATTTCATCTGTTCTCATGGTTGAGGAGTATACAATGCAATATGCAGATCATGTATCATAAAATTGTTAATTTGAAACCTATATAATCTTATTAACTAACAAGAGGCCCAGTGCAGAAATTTGTGCACCAGTGGGATCCCTTGGCCTGGCCGGCGATCGGGGCCCATTGGGGTGATCTTGCCCAGTCCTGGGTCAGGGCTGATGGGGGCTGGCTGGCTGGGGGGGGAGGGTGGGAGGTGGGCTCCAGGGCATGTTCAGCCTGTCTCGCCCAGTCCTGATCGGCTGGACCCAGCATCAAGCTAACCTATGGGTCACAGCGTCTGCCCCTCTGGTGGTCAGTGTAGCGATTGCTTGAGAGGTCGACTGAACAGTTGACCAATCAGTTAGACACTTAGCATATTATGCTTTTATTATAAAGAATGTCACCCCAATAAATTTCACAAAAATTGCATAGATCCTTGTTTTGTACAGCTGCATAGTATTCCACTGTGTAAATGTACCACAGCTTTTGCATCCACTCATCTGCTGATGGGTACTTGGGCTGTTTCCAGATATTAGCTATTGTAAATAACACTGCTATGAACATAGGGTGCACATATTCTATCTGGTTGGTATTTTGGGCTTCTTAGGATATACTCCTAGGAGTGGGATCACTGGGTCAAATGGAAATTTCATTTTTGATTTTTCTTGGTGAGTGAACTAAGCCAGTCAGAGAAAGACAAGTACCACATGACCTCACTCTTATGTGGACTCTAATGAACAAAATAAACTGATGACCAAAATAGATCCAGAGACATAGAAGCATGAGTCTCAGACAAAGGGGACCAGGAAGAGATGAACCAAAGAACTTATATACACATATGCAAAAGCCATGGACACAGATTATAATGCAGTGAAGGCCTGGGTGGGGGCATGGGTGCAGATTGGAGGGGACCCCCACCTGAGCTCATGTCTCCAGTCTCCTGGATCTGGGAGGTCGCTGCCCAGCCACCTTCTACATAAGCAGTATCTGCCTTCTTTCTTCTCTTCATTATGAGCCCTGTGGTGATAGCCTTAAGGAATTCTGGGGTCATGAAAGGCAGGTGTGGGGACTGGGTGAGGAGCTTTAAGTCTTCTCCATGGGAGCCCTGCCTGGTCCTTTTGGGATGTCCCTCTGCAAACCATTGACTCAGCTGATGGGGAATGGCCTCCCAGATATTCCTTGTGTCTTTAGTCGAAGATTCTCTCTCCCTCAGTCCCGTTGCACCTAATCTTCCTTCACTTTTCCTGCTCCTTCTGCAAAGACTACCCGTTGGCACTCTCCACTCAGAGAGCACGCCTGTGACATTCCCTTCTCTCTCCATCTCACTTTTCCTTCCCTGCTTCCCCTTCCAGGCACAATACCTCTAGGTTCCTCACTGCCAAACTCCACAGGCCCTTGTTTTACCTCCACAACTTGTTTCCTAAGCCCCTTTCTTCTAGGACTTACTTCTTCTACCTCTGTCACTTACCCAATAAATGGTCTCCTTACAGTTAAAAAAAAAAAAAAAGAGTACCAGTTATTCACCAGGAGGACAGCTAAATTCTGTGGGATCAGGATTGTCAGCAGCTTTTGCAAATGGGGATGATTTCCTTATCTGTGCTCAGGCTCCGTCTCCGCAGATTCACAATGACCTATATACTCTCCCAGCCCCTAGGTATGTGTCAGAGGCCTGTATGATAGGTGAGTGGTGAAGTCCTCATAATTTTTATGGAAGCTGATAGTGTGGACACGGCTTCCTACTAGTCACTGCTCTAAGTGGACAGTGTCATCTCCAGAAGGGGACGTGGGGATGGACCAGCTTCCTCACCTCTGACCACAAGCTGCAGTGGGTCACTGGGGTGAGACCACACATAGGGGTCTTTGCTGAAGGTACCGTAGCATCTGTAGGTCCCTGCCTGTGTGGAGGTGACACGGTCCATGTGGAAGGTGGTCTGCTGTCCATTGTCCTGGGTTGTGGAGCTTTGTCTCTGGGTGAGCTGAGGTGCATCTTCTTTGGTGAGAATAAATGCCTGAAATCCGATTCTGGAGAAACACTGTAACGTCACATTGTCTCCTGGAGCCACCATCGTGCCACTCATGCTCGAGAGTGAGGGTTTGTCATAAGATCCTGGGAAAGAAAGAAGTTTGCTGATAAAGGGGAAGCCACATTCATGCACTGTCCCTTCTTATTTTAGGGAGTAGATGTGGCTCTGGCTTCTATCCCCTCCATGTCCCGCCCTGAGGGAATGTGTCTCTGCATCATCCCTGATTCCTTCCTGGAGGTAGAGGCTTTGCTGCTTCCTGCTCCGTATCTCAGAGCCTGGTTTTCCTGCTTTTCCTGCTGCAAAGAGGTCCCGCCCTGCTGCCTGGGTCCCACTCACCCGTCATCACCAGATGCAGGATGTTACTGAGCGGGGACCAGTGTCCTCCCCTCTGATAGGAACAGCGGTACATTCCTGTCCAGTATGGTTCCATCTCTTGGATAGTTGAAGTGTCGGTCTTCCCAGCCACCAGTAATTGCTTTCCAGCCCTATATTCAGGTTCTTCCTCTTTATATATCGCGTAGGCTTCAGCATCTGGAGGCCCTTGGCACCGGATGGTCACTGGTTCATTATATAGAACCATGGATCCAGGCAGAGCTTTGATAACAGGTGGGGGGAGACTTGCTGGAAAAAAGGTAATAAATTCACAGGTGTATCTGTTTCTCACGCCACCCTCCACTTCCTCCCCCTTTACAGCCACTAGTTTAAATGCCAAGATCCTCTTCCCAGCCCCCAAGAGAGCTGATATCTGGCCAAACCTACTGAGTCCTTGAACAGTAAAAGGATACTCAGCATTCTGAGCCTGAGTGCTCTGGGCTAGATACAACCTTGGAAGGAAACATTGGGTGGGAACAGCTCAGGCTTTTAAATTTCCAATTACAGTTTACATTCACTATCACTTTGCATTATTTTTAAGTGTATAGCCTAGTGGTTAGATAATCATATGCTTCAAAAAGTGTTTCCCCTGGCTATATCTAGGAGGCCTGCGTGGTGTGTGTAGGTGGGGTGCTTACAGCTTTTGTGGAAGCAGATGGTGTTGCCAAGGGCTTCCCACCGCACTCTTCTCTTTCTTTCAGTCACTCCCTAAGTGGACAGTGTCATCTCCAGAAGGGGACGTGGGGATGGAGGGCCTTCCTCACCTGTGACCACAAGCTGCAATGGGTCGCTGGGGTGAGACCACACATAGGGGTCTTTGCTGAAGGTACCGTAGCATTTGTAGGTCCCTGCATGTGTGGAGGTGACATGGTCCATGTGGAAGGTGGCCTGCTGTCCATTGTCCTGGGCCGTGGATCTTTGTGTCTGGGTGAACTGAGGTGCGTCTTCTTTGGTGAGAATAAATGCATCAAACTTGAAACTGGAGAAACACTGTAACTTCACATTGTCTCCTGAAGCCACCACCCTGCCACTCATGCTGGAAAGTGAGGGTTTGTCAAAGGTTCCTGAGAAAGAAGGAAGTTTGCTGATAAAGGGGAAGCCATATCCATGTGCTGTCCTTTCCTGTTCAGGGGAGCAGATGTGGGTCTGGCTTATCCCCTCCATGTCCTGCCCTGAGGGAATGTGTCTCTGCATCATCCCTGATTCCTTCCCAGAGGTAGAGACTTTGCTGCTTCCTGCTCCTTATCTCAGAGCCTGGTTCTCCCCTGTGCAAAGAGGTCCCTCCCGGCCCTGCTGCCTGGGTCCCACTCACCCGTCATCACCAGACAGAGGATGTTACTGAGCTGGGACCGTTGTCCTGCAATTCTATAGGAACAGCGGTACAGTCCTGTCTGGTCTGGTTCCATCTCTGTGATATTTAAAGTGTTCCCAGCCATCAGTGATTTACTTGTGTCTTTAGTTGAAGGTTCTCTCACTGTATGTATCTCGTAGGCTTCAGCGACTGGAGGCCCTTGGCACAGGATGGTCACTGGTCTATTAAATGGGACAATGGATCCAGGCAGAGCTATGATAACAGGTGGGGGGAGATTTCCTAGAAGAAGCGGTAATATATTTACAGGTGTGTCTGTTTCTCATGCCACCCTCCTCATCCTCCCTCTTACAGCCAAAATTTAAAGGCCAGGACCCCTCTTCCCAGCCCCCCAAGAGCTCAAATCTGGCCAAACCCTACTTAGTCATTGGGAATATTAAATGGAATACTCACCTTCCTGAACCCAACTGCTCTGGGTTAGATACAACCCTGAAAGGAAACACAGGTGAGCACAGCCCAACCTTACAGAACCACCTTCCTGCCCGCCCTTCTGTCCAGACTCACCGAGGTAGAGCAGGGTGGGAAGAACCAGGGACATGATCCTGGGTCCTGGCTGGCCGCTGGACTCAGGAATGCTGAGCAGACTTGTGTGAAAGTGATCCCGCCCTCCTGGGAGTGTGGGTGTGGCCCCGCCCCCAAAGGGAAAGGGAAGGCGGGTCCACATCCCTTTTCCTAGTTCCTCTGGGAGGCCTGCAGCCACAGCTGACAGCATGAAGTCATTAACCATCTAAACCTCAAATTGCTGTCAGAGCAGAAGGAGATGTAGGTGTCGTGTTCCTGGGGGGCAGATCCCCAAGGTCCACCGCTCCTATTGCTGGACCCGCCCCGGTAGTGCCTCGCCCACTGTGGCTGTCTTGTCAAGGGCTCGCTAATAAATGTTGCCACTATAGCTCAAAAACACCCCCCAAAACACGAAAACAAACCAAAATAAACAAAAAGAAACAAGAACCCCTGCTGTCAGTCTAATCTGATTTGTATGTTCTGGGCCCCACTTAAATTTTTTTTCTTTTTCCCGTTTTAAAAAATATTTTATTGATTTTTTACAGAGAGGAAGGGAGAGGGATAGAGAGTTAGAAACATCGATGAAAGAGAAACATCGATCAGCTGACTCCTGCACACCTCCCACTAGGGATGTGCCAACAACCAAGGTACATGCCCCTGACTGCAATTGAACCTGGGACCCTTCAGTCCGCAGGCCGACGCTCTATCCACTGAGCCAAACCGGTTAGGGCCCCACTTTAATCTTTTTAAGTAGTGGATGGGGTAAGACAATCACAGGATAATGAACAGGAAAGTAATAATTTCTTTTTTTAAATCCTCACCCAAGGACATGCTTTCCCCCATTGATTTTTAGAGAGATTGGAAGGGAGAGACAGAGATGAGAAAAACACTGATGTGAAAGAGACACATGGATTGGTTGCCTCCCTCAGGCCCCTGACCAGGCCGGGAGCCTGCAACCGAGGTACTTGCCCTTGACCAGAATCAAACCCGGATCCTTTGGTTTGCATGCCGATGTACTATCTACTGAGCCAAACTGGCTAGGGCGCTGTCTCTCTCCCTCTACTTCTCTCTCTCTCCCTCCCACCTCCTCTGTTCCCCCTCCTCCCTTCCTTCCACTTTGTCTAAAAATCAATGGAAAAATATCCTCCAGTGAGGATTAAAAAAATAATTCTTACTGGAGTGTAAGAATAACATTCCCCCCCGCCCAGGGAATGCTAGGCCATTCTCTCTCCAGCCTCCGTTCCATGAGATTCATGGCTCAAGGAAGTATAGGGGCATTGAGGTGGAGTTCCCATTGCCCCTCTTGGTTGCAGGTGGGATGCTGGGCTAGAGCTGCTGGTGACTAATTGCGAGGGTGCAAAGCTCCTGCTGATGACGGAGCAGCAATGAGGCTGTGGCATGTGTGGTCTGTGGTAGGATCGGCAGTGCCCACATCAGACCTGGCCTGTGGGAGTATCAGGGCATCCCTGACCAGGCGTCTCCAGGCTTGTTCACCAGCCCTCAAAATCATCCTGAAGCTCACACTCTAACCTGACTCTCATTTAAAAAAAAAAACCCAAGCCCAACCAGCGTGGCTCGGTGGTTGAGCTTCGACCCATGAACCAGGAGGTTGAGGTTTGATTCCCAGTTAGGGCACAGGCCTGGGTTGTGGGCTCAATTCAGTAGGAGGTGTGCAAGTTTCATCGATGTTGCTATCTCTCTCTTCCTCTCTTTTTAAAATCAATAAAAATAGTAAAATTTAAAACAAATCAACATAAGTAGCTTCCATTGGTATAATCTGACAACAGAAATTTATGATTGAGATGAAACGGAATTCTTTAGAAAATTTTTTATTCATCAATTTTATTTTGAGAGAGAGAAACATTGATTTGTTGTTCCACTTATATATGCATTCATTGGTTGATTCTTGGGTGTGCCCTGACTGGAAATTGAACCTACAACCTTGACATATCAGGACCAACACTCTAACGAACTGAGCTACAGAGCCAGGGCTAGAAATAGCAGAGATGTAATGAGTGGTTGATTCTGGGGCTTATAGGAAAGGGAAGAAGTAAGGATGGATTCCCCCACATGTTTATTTGAGTTACTTACTGAAGTCTGGTACCATAAACAAGGAAAGAAAAAGCTTGTGTGTGTGTGTGTGTGTGTATGTGTGTGTGTGTGTGTGTCCATCATCAACGTAGAGTAACATGGTGTAGAGGTTGTAATTGGAGGTGTCTGTGGCTGAAAAGAAGGGTTTTTTTTCCAGAACTTAGAAGATAATTAAATGCTCTACTCAGAGGCAGACAGGTCAAAAGTAGTTAGATAGGGTTTCCTGTCTCTGACACTAGGGAAAAATATCCATACCAACCAATCCATCCATCCATCCATCCATCCATCTATCTACTATCTATCTACCCAGCTGTCTACCCATCTATTCATCATCCATATGTCCATCATCCTTCCATCCACCCATTTATCATCCATCTATTATCTATCCAACCATCCATCTATTTTCCTTCCTTCCATCATCTATCCATCTATCCATCCGCTCATCTAACTGCTATCTATCTACCCATCTGTCTGCCTATCCATCTATCCATCATCCACCTGTCTATCTATCCATCCACCATCCATCTATTCATTCATCTATTGTCCATCCATCCATCATCCATCTGTCTATTCATCCTTCCATCCGTCCATTTATTACCCACCATCTATCCATGATCCTTTATTCCTTCATCAACCATCCACCCATCCACCCATCTATCTAATCTATATCTAATCTATCTCCATCTGCCAGAGTCACAAATGGAGACCTTAAACACAACAATGACTATTTTTGTTAAAGAACCATTTCCAGGCACACTCCTTAACATTTCTTTGCTCTCAAGCTGTTTTGGCTTCAGCTTTTAGGAGCACAGACCAGAAGGTGTCTGTGTCCACTGGTTTGGCTTATATGCATGCATACAAGTCCTTTGGTTGATTTCTTCCCCTTACCCCTACCCTCCCCTACTTTCCCTCCGGGAATTGACAGTCTGATCACTGTTTCTCTGGCTCTGGATCTGTCCCTGTTCATCAGTCTATGTTGTTCTCTATATTCCACAAATGAACCTGGGTTTCCGTAGTGTAGTGATTATCACGTTCACCTAACACAAATGAGTGAGATCTGACTGGCTTATTTCACTTAGCATAATGCTCTCCGTTCCAGTCATTTAGTATTTGGCCTTTAGAGAAAGCCTGCTGATTCCTGACATTGAATGACAGTCACACCAGCAATAGAGTCTGAGGAGGCACTCAGGAAAAACTTCCTAGAAAGAGTTTTGTGTGTGCATAGTTCAATGACTTTTACTGTTTCCCAATTTATGCAATCATTGCCACAATCCAGTTTTAGAATCTTCCACAGCTCCACTAAGATTTCAAATTCCCCTTTACAGTTTACCCCATTTCTACCACCAGCCCCAGGCAATCTACTTTGTGTCTCTACAGGGTTGACTTTCTTGGAAATTTCACAGAAATGGAACCACTTAACAAACAGGCGGTCTTTTGCATCTTGGCATAATGTTTTTATCTGTGTTGCAGCATGCATTAGTACCTCATTCCTTTTTTTTGTTTTGTTAATCCTCACTTGAGGATATGCTTTACCATTGATTTTTAGAGAGAGTGAAAGAGGGGGAGAGAGAGAGAGAGAGAGAGAGAGCGAGAGAGAGAGAGAGAGAGAGAGAAAAGAGACACATCCACTTGTCTTGGTGGGGATCCAACCTGCAACCCAGGTACGTGCCCTTGACCAGGAATCAAACCTGAGAATCAAGCCCAGTGTTTGGGCTGATGCTCTAACCATGGAGCACACCTGTCAGGGCAGCACCTCATTCCTTTTTACTTTTATTGATTAGGATATAATTGACATATTGCATTGTGTGAGTTTAAGGTGCACAATGCGTTGATCTGATACATTTATACATTGCGATATGATTGATTGCCACTACAATGCTAGTTGACACTGCCATCACCTCACATAATTACCATTTTTTTTTGTTTTGTTGGTAGGAACAGTTCATATCTCATAGCAACTTTCAAATACATAATATCGTGCTGTTAACTAAAATGACTATGCTGCCGCCCTAGCTGGTCTGGCTTAGTGGATAGAGTGTTGGCCTATGGACTGAAGGATCCGGGTTGGATTGCAGTCAAGGGCACATGCCTGGGTTGCGAGCTCCATCCCCGGTAGGGGGTGTGTAGGAGGCAGCCAATCAATGCCTCTCTTTCCATTATTGATGTTTCTATCTCTTCCTCCCTCTCCCTTTCTCTCTGAAATAAAAAATATATTAAAAAAGATTTAATAAAAAATTTTAAAATGATAAAATTACTATGCTGTTTACTAAATCCTCAGGACTTCATCATCTTAGAAGGGGAAGTTTGTATCATTTGCCTTACATCTTCCCATTCCCCCCTCCCCCCCCAACCACCATTCTACTCTTTGTCTCTATGAGTTCAGGTTTTTAGATTCCACTTATAGGTGAGATCATGCAGTATTCGTCTTTCTCTTATTTCACTTAGCATAATGTCCTCCAGGTTCATCCACAGTGTCACAGATGGCAGAATTTAGGGAGCTTATTTTGAAGCAGGTGGTTTTGAGGTTGAGGTGGGTTTAATTTCTCCCTTTCCAGGTGACTGTCCTGCTCTCTTCACCTCATTCACCTGCTCCCTTGCAGAGACTGCGGCCTGGCTGGGCTCTGTTTTAACGACACTGGGTGTTCTGTTAAAGTATTTTTGATTGTGGCTTCTTATCAGTTCACCCCGTGCTCTGTTCTGGCCATGTAGTTCCTCTTTTTCATATTTAGTCACCATTTCAGGATCTGTCTGTCACACCCAAACTCACTGCAACAGAAGTCTGTTGAAGTCCATTCCTTTCCTTGCCACCCATGAATTCTGTGAACTTGAGGGGGATGCCACTCAATATTTCACTCTCAATTTCTTCACTTGTCAATGTGTGGGGCGGTGTTCAGAGTATACCTATGGCGTCTGTTGTAGGAGGTCATGGTTCGATTCCCGGTCAAG